CGACATAGGAATCTGACCTGGGGATCTGACTCGAGTGTTTGACTTGGGAATACGACTTGGGAAACTGACTGGAATCTAACCTGGGGAGATGACTTGGGACTCTGACTTGGGAATACGACTTGGGAATCTGACTGGAATCTAACCTGGGAATCTGACCTGCAAATGTGACATGGGAATCTGACCTGGGAATCTGACCTGGTGATCTGACTCGAGATTATGACTTGGGGATCTGACTAGGGAGTAGCACTGGAATCTGACTCCGAATCTGACCTGGGAATGTGACCTGGAAATGTGACATGGGAATCTGACCTGGGGATCTGACTCGAGATTATGACTTGGGAATCTGACTTGGGAATCTGACTCGGAATCTGACCTGGGAATCTGACCTGGCAATCTGACCTGGGGATCTGACCTGGGGATCTGACTCGAGATTATGACTTGGGAATCTAACCTGGGGAGATGACTCGGGACTCTGACTTGGGAATACGACTTCGGAATCTGACTGGAATCTAACCTGGGAATCTGACCTGCAAATGTGACATGGGAATCTGACCTGGGAATCTGACCTGGTGATCTGACTCGAGATTATGACTTGTGGATCTGACTGGGGAATAGGACTTGGGAATCAGACTGGAATCTGACTCCGAATCTGACTTGGAATCTAACCTGGGAATCTGACCTGTAAATCTGACCTGGGAATCTGACCTGAGAGTCTGACCTGGGAATCTGACCTGGGAATCTGACGTGGCAATCTGACCTGGGAATCTGACCTGGGAATCTGACATGGGAATCTGACCTGGGAATCTGACCTGGGGATCTGACTCGAGATTAGGACATGTGAATCTAATCTGGGGATATGACATGGGTATATGACTTGGGAATCTGACTGGAATCTGACTTGGGTATACGACGTGGGAATCTGACTGGAATCTGACTTGGAATCTGACCTGGGAATCTCACCCGGGCATCTTACCTGGGAATCTGACCTGGGAATCTGACCTGGTGATCTGCCTCGAGATTATGACTTGGGGATCTGACTTGGGAATAGGACTTGGGAATCAGACTGGAATGTGACTTCGAATCTGAGCTGGAAATCTGACCTGGGAATGTGACATGCGAATCTGACCTGGGAATCTGACCTGGGGATCTGACTCGAGATTCTGACTTGGGAATCTGACCTGGGGATCTGACTTGGAAATCTGACCTTGGAATCTCACATGGGAATGTGACATGGGAATCTGACCTGGGAATCTGACCTGGGGATCTGACTCGAGATTATGACTCGGGAATCTAACCTGGGGATCTGACTTGGGAATCTGACTTGGGAATAAGACTTGGGAGTATGATTGGTATCAGACTTGGAATGTGACCTGGGAATCTGACCTGGGGATCTGAGTTGAGAATCTGACTGGGGAATATGACTCGGCAATCTGACTGGAATCTGACTTGGAATCCTGGGAATCTGACATGGGAATGTGACATAGGAATCTAACCTTTGGATCTGACTCGAGATTATGACTTGGTCAACTGACCTGGGGATCTGACTAGGGAGTCCAACTAGGGAAGAAGACATGGTTATCTGACCTGGGAATCTGACCTGGGAATCTGACCTGGGAATCTGACATGGGAATCTGACCCGGGAATCTGACCTGGGAATCTGACCCGGGAATCTGACTTGGAATCTGACGTGGGAATCTGACCTGGGAATCTGACCTGGGAATCTGACATGGGAATCTTACCTGGGAATCTCACCTGGGAGTCTGACCCGGGAATGTGACCTTGGAAAGTGACCTGGGAATCTGACTTGGGAATCTGACCTGGGAATCTGACTTGGGAATCTGACTAGGAATCTGACATGGGAATCTGAGCTGGGAATCTGACATGAGAATCGGACCAGGGGATCAGACTTGGGAAACTGACTTGGAATCCGACCTGTGAATCTGACCTGGGAATCTTACCTGGGAATCTCACCTGGGAGTCTGACCTGGGAATGTGACCTGGGAAAGTGACCTGGGAATCTGACCTAGCAATCTGACCTGGGAATCTGACATGGGAAGCGGACCTGGGGATCTGACTTGCAAATCTGACTCGAAATCGGACCTGGGAATGTGACCTGGGAATCTGACCTGGGAATCTGACCTGGGAATCTGACCTGGGAAGCTGACAAGGAATCCGACCTGGGAATCTGACCTGGGAATCTGACCCAGGAATCTGACTTGGAATCTGACCTGGGAATCTGACCTGGGAATCTGACCCGGGAATCTGACTTGGAATCTGACCTGGGAATCTGACCTGGGAATCTGACCTGGGAATCTGACCTGGGAATCTGTCATGGGAATCTGAGCTGGGAATCTGACATGAGAATCGGACCAAGGGATCAGACTTGGGAAACTGACTCGGAATCCGACCTGGGAATCTGACCTGGGAATCTGATCTGGAATCTCACCTGGGAATCTGACTTGGGAATCTGACCTGGGAATCTGACATGGGAATGGGACATGGGGATCTGACTTGGGAAACTGACTCGGAATCCAACCTGGGAATCTGACCTGAGAATCTGACCTGGGAATCTGACCTGGGAGTCTGACCTGGGAATGTGACCTGGGAATCTGACCTGGGAATCTGACCTGGGAATGTGACCTCGGAATCTGACCTGGGAATCTGACCTGGGGATGTGACTCGAGATTATGACTTGGGAATCTAATCTGGGGATATGACTCGGGAATCTGACTTGGGAACGACTTGGGAATCTGACTGGAATCTGACTTGGAATCTGACTGGAATTTGACTTGGAATCTGATGTGGGAATCTGACCTGGGAATCTGACCTGGGACTCTGACCTGGGAATGTGACATGGGAATGTGACATGGGAATCTGACCTGGGGATCTGACTTGCGAATCTGACTTGGGGATCTGACTTGGGAATTGGGCTTGGGAATCGGACTTGGAATCTGACCTGGGAATTTGACCTGGGAATATGACCTGGGAATCTGACTTGGGAATCTGACCTGGGAATAGGACTTGGGAATCTGAGTGGAATCTGACCTGGGAATCTGACCCGGGCATCTGACCTGGGAATCTGACCTGCAAATGTGACATGGGAATGTGACATGGGAATCTGCCCTGGAGATCTGACTCGAGATTATGACTTGGGAATAAGACTTGGGAATAAGACTTGGGAATAAGACTTGGGAATCTGACTTGGGAATCTGACTTGGAATCTGACGTGGGAATCTGACCTGGGAATCTGACCTGGGAATCTGACATGGGAATCTGACCTGGGAATCTGACCTGGTGATCTGACTCGAGATTATGACTTGGGAATCTAACCTGGGGATATGACTTGGGAATCTGACTGGAATCTGACTCGGAATCTGACCTGGGAATCTGACCCGGGCATCTTACCTGGGAATCTGACCTGCAAAAATGACATGGGAATCTGACCTGGGAATCTGACCTGGTGATCTGCCTCGAGATTATGACTTGGGGATCTGACGGAATAGGACTTGGGAATCAGACTGGAATGTGACTTCGAATCTGACCTGGGAATCTGACCTGGGAATCTGACATGGGAATCTGACCTGGGAATCTGACCTGGGGATCTGGCTCGAGATTATGACTCGGGAATCTAACCTGGAGATCTGACTTGGGAATCTGACTTGGGAATATGACTTGGGAATCTGTCTGGTATCTGACTTGGAATCTGACCTGGGAATCTGACCTGGGAATCTGACCTGCGAATGTGACCTGGGAATCTGACCTGGGGATCCGACTTGAGAATCTGACTGGGGAATATGACTTGGGAATCTGTCTGGAATCTGACTTGGAATCTGACCTGGGAGGGAATCTGACCTGGGAATCTGACCTGGTAATGTGACATGGGAATCTGACCTGGGAATCTGACCTGGGGATCTGACTCGAGATTATGACTTGGGAATCTGACCTGGGGATTTGACTTGGGAATCTGACTTGGGAATAAGCCTTGGGAAGCTGACTTGGCAGGCAGGCACAAACCACACGCAGGGCAACATGATTCAGGCATGAGAGTGGGTCATGGTGATTCAGGCATCAGAGTGGGTGATGGTGATTCAGACAAGTGTGAGAGGAAGTTGTTGGGATCATTGTAGCTGACAGTGAGATGCATGGTGTCAAAGCAGTGGAGGGGATGGGAGGCAGAAAGAGGGGGAAACGAGGAGCACTTGAACGAGTTGGAATAAATGGCAAGAGCACAACATGAAGCAGGGAGGACACAAGTGACAGAATGGCCGACCCAGACTGTCAAAAGATGAGCAAAAGTAGCAGAAATGGGGGAGAGAAGGTGAGACGAATGGAGGTGAGAAGATGAGAAGTTATGGGCGTGAAATGATGGGGGCGGGGTGGATGAATGGAGGAGTAAATTCAGATTGTAAGCAATGTTGAGGGTAAGGCATTAGCAATGACAACGACGCCAGTGACCATTACTGGGATGACAGCGGCAAAAACTGGAGGAATGCAGCTGGAGCTCGCGGGCAGAGGGACGGCTTCTTGCTCATGGTTCTGCTCACCCCATTGCCCCTGCTTGGAATGGAACGCAGCAGGAGCTCACGGGCTGCAAGTTGCAACACGCGGTGTAAGCCTCCGCACCGCACACGCAGGCAGAAGCAGCAGAGGCGCAAGCAACACAAGAGCAGGCGCTTGGACCAAGCGCCACCTCCTGCCATCGCCCCTTCCACCACTCCCCCCTCCACCGTTCCTTACTCCAGCGTTCCCTGCTCTGTATATCCCCCGTTGGCGCTGCAGGCAGTATCAGCCATTCCTTCCAAGTCAACCCTGCCCCATCCCCCCCCCCCCCCTCACCGCACGCACCACCCAACCCAGCCGCTACCGCCCCTGTTGCATGTTCGCTAGCAGCAGCTGATTCTGCAGGCAAGCGAGTGGGAGAAGGTTCTGCTGTCACGCTATGCAGGCTTCGTTTGAAGCACAGCAACCTGTTGGTACTCGTGCCTGTATCTCCATTTCAAGCTGCTTCTGTGGCTGTATTCCAACCGCGCCCATCTCTCTGCTACAGCACCACTTGCTGCTTAGTATTAAGATCAAAACCGTATGAAGAGTGGTTTGGCAGAAATAAATCCAATACATTAGGGAGAATCAGCCCACTAGTATTAGTCCTATGGATGTATGCTACCTATGTATACATTCAGCCCACTGTACAATACATGCAGCACCGAACCAGCACTTACGGCTGCACGGGCATGACTTGTCTGGCGCGGCCGTACGCGGTATAAGCGCAATCCACAGCGAGCACGTCGCTCGCCTCGTACGACCTGGGTGTGCCATCAAGGAAGCCCTTGCCCTCCGCGCCATCGGCGGAGATCGGACGGTGCAGGCTCGCGATCAGGCGCTGGAAGTCCGCGGCGCGCTGCGAGTGATCCGCGCGATACGTCTGTCCGAGCACGCCGTGAATCTCCTCCGTGTGCTCCAGCTCCGCAATTCCCACATTGATGTGCGCCTCGGCGTCGGTCGGGGTTTGCAGCTTGGGGTGAGCCACGCGCAGGCGGAGGTCGAGCGAAACCAGGCCGTCGATCGTGAGCAGGTAGTAATCGACATCGAACGGTCCCTCCTTCTCGAGCCCGCGGAATTCGACCTTGAGCCCGCCGGCGCCGGTAACGCTGTCGCCGACCTGCATGCGAGGGATCTCCTCGCCGTCGATCTCGATGCTCTTCATGAATCCCTCGCCGCGCTCCTGCTGCTTGCCGCCGCGCGCCGCCAGCCGAATCTTGTGGTCCACGCCGCCGGCAGTCCACACGATGCCGAGCTCCTTGATCCACGTGTGCACTGCCTTGCCGTCGACGACCAGCGCCGCGTTGTCGGTCCTCTCGTCGTAGTAACCGCGGAGGAGCATGTTCACGTGGAGGTCGCGGTCGGTGAGCAGGCAGAAGGCCTTGTCGGGGCGGCCGTTGAAGTCGAAGTGCGTGCCGTGCGCGCCCACCAGATGCGGGTCGTTGAGGATCTTCGCCGCGGGGTTGCACTCGCCGCCGATGCGCACCTGCAGGGGCACGGGCTTCGTCTCCGTGCTGTACTGCGCGGTCATCTCTCCGCACGTGAAGTCAATCTGGTCGTGAATCAGGTAGCACGCGCCCTTGCCCTTCTTTCCGTCAATCGTGATATCGGGGATGTACTGCCAGTACGTGCACAGGGGCGTCGAGGCGCACGTGTTGCAGCACGACGCGGGGTTCGCCTTGAGCAGCGTCAGCGGGTTACCCGGCACGTACAGCTCGTAACCGAGCTTGTTCTTCTGCAGGTAGGCGGTCTTCCACTTGGCGGCGATTCCGCCCTTGGAGCAGTTCTTGGGCGTGCACGCTCCCGCCAGCTCCTTGTTCAAACCGGGCGGGCACTTTTGCGCGTTCCACCCCGCTTTCTTCACGTCAGCCATGAAAAACGTATCCTGAGCGGTATCGACGTAGGTAACACCGGCCGCGTCGCCTGACGCAGCAGCCTTCGCGATCGCGGCGGGGATTTCGGTCATGAGCCCGTCGTCCTTCTTGCTGCTCAGGTCGGGCTTCTCGTTGGCGGACGAGCTCGTGATGGGGCTGCCGGCGCGCGCGACGGCGACGAGCAGCGCCAGGGAGAGCGCGAGAAGCGCGGCTCTGGCCATTCTCACGCGCTGGGAGGGACGGGTATCGAGAACGAAGCTGCTATATACACTCAAGCTGTATGGAGATCGTCACTGGAAATCTGACTGGTTTCTGATCTGACTTTTGTGCGCTGGGAAAGCCACTTGCTTGCTGTGAGAGAGGAATAGCCGAGGGAGTGGTTTTATGCGGGAGGTAAGGGGAAGGATGAGTCTGGCTTGGGCCCTGCCTGCTGCTGCGAGTTGCAGGGCGAGCGAGTGACCTGACCTCACCTGATGGGGCTGGTGCTTCCGTGCCGCGTTGTTTGCTCGTGGGTGGTTATTTCAGGTGTGCTCCACTCCACTCACTAATCGAGCCGCAGGTCTCCTAGACGCACCAAGGGAATTCGGAACAGGTTTCAGGCGGATTGCGTACCCGTTATGAGGAGAGTTACAGGGAAATAGTGTCCGTAATTTTGTAAGAGCATATTATTTCTGAACCCCATCTATCTATGGCAATGACACATTCAGATTCATCAACACCATCACCATTGCTTTCGGCATCATTCAGAACCAGCCTCCAATAATGAATCGCAAATGAGTCTACCTCCTCCCACCAAGTACAGTATACTGTTACTCGCCTATCTTCTTTGGGTTCCACACACCCGTTGCACGTACCACCCACCGCACCACCCTTCTCCTTCCCACCTCAGCATTCTCATCTCCAACCAATACCATCAACCTCTCCTCCTCACTACCACTACCATCCCCGCTACGATGCGCATCACCAGCCATCGTAGGTGTGGCACCTATAAATCAGTCGCCTATTCTCTCCATAGTCCACATGCTACCTGTGGCACGTGCCACCACCACCCTACTCCTTCCTGCTCCAGCTGCACCAATCCCCACTCCCCAGCACCACTCTCGCCTCACCCCTGCCACCACCATCCTGGCTATCATGGCCACCACCAACAATGATTTCTGGTGAGGTAAGTCACTCCCCCATTCTCTCCATTCGGCGAATGGAGACCGGAAGGGGGGGCATTCGGCTGAATGGAATTGACGGGGAAGGGAAGGCGGGCACGTCAGTGTGGGGGGGGGGGGGGGGGGAGGGGAGAAGGGCGGTGAGAGGGAACGAGAAATGAGACTTTGGGGTAGAGGGAAGAGCCCAGCACCACGTACGGCCGCTGCGGGACAAAGAACACTGCCCCTCCTGCGTCCATCACCCCCTCCTCCACGTCAGCTACTGCGCCCTCTGCTTTAACCACACTCGCACCCTCCACACTCCCTTCACTGTCACTCTCTCTGATCCCTGTCGTCTCTGTGCTGCTTGGATCTGACTTGGGAATCTGACTTGGAATCTGACATGGGAGTCTCTGACCTGGGTATCTGACCTGGGAATGTGACCTGGGAATCTGACGCGGGAATCTGACCTGGTGATTTGACTCGAGATTATGACTTGGGGATCTGACTTGGGGATCTGACTTGGGGATCTGACTTGGGGATCTGACTTGGGGATCTGACTGGAATCTGACTTGGAATCTGACCTGGGAATGTGACATGGGAATGTGACATGGGAATCTGACCTGGGGATCTGACTAGAGAATATGACTTGGGAATCTGACCTGAGGATGTGAGTTGGGAATCTGACTCGGGAATAAGACTTGGGAATCTGACTGGAATCCGACCTGGGAATCTGACCTGGCAAAGTGAAATGGGAATCTGACCTGGGAATCTGACATGGGAGTCTCTGACCTGGGTATCTGACCTGGGAATGTGACCTGGGAATCTGACGCGGGAATCTGACCTGGTGATTTGACTCGAGATTATGACTTGGGCATCTGACTTGGGGATCTGACTTGGGGATCTGACTTGGGAATCGGACTTGGAAATCTGACTGGAATCTGACCTGAGAATCTGACCTGGGAATCTGACCTGGGGATCTGACCTGGGAATCTGACCTGGGGATCTGACTAGAGAATATGACTTGGGAATCTGACTTGGAATCTGACATGGGAGTCTCTGACCTGGGTATCTGACCTGGGAATGTGACCTGGAAATCTGATGCGGGAATCTGACCTGGTGATTTGACTCGAGATTATGACTTGGGGATCTGACTTGGGGATCTGACTTGGGGATCTGACTTGGGAATCTGACTGGAATCTGACTTGGAATCTGACCTGGGAATGTGACATGGGAATGTGACATGGGAATCTGACCTGGGGATCTGACTAGAGAATATGACTTGGGAATCTGACCTGAGGATGTGAGTTGGGAATCTGACTCGGGAATAAGACTTGGGAATCTGACTGGAATCTGACTTGGAATCCGACCTGGGAATCTGACCTGGCAAAGTGAAATGGAAATCTGACCTGGGAATCTGACATGGGAGTCTCTGACCTGGGTATCTGACCTGGGAATGTGACCTGGGAATCTGACGCGGGAATCTGACCTGGTGATTTGACTCGAGATTATGACTTGGGCATCTGACTTGGGGATCTGACTTGGGGATCTGACTTGGGAATCGGACTTGGAAATCTGACTGGAATCTGACTTGGAATCTGACCTGGGAATCTGACCTGGGAATCTGACCTGGGAATGTGACATGGGAATCTGACCTGGGGATCTGACTAGAGAATATGACTTGGGAATCTGACCTGAGGATGTGACTTGGGAATCTGACTCGGGAATAAGACTTGGGAATCTGACTTGGAATCCGACCTGGGAATCTGACCTGGCAAAGTGACCTGGGAATCTGACCTGGGAATCTGACTTGGGAATGTGACCTGGGAATGTGACATGGGAATCTGACCTGGGGATGTGACGCGAGATTATGCCTTGGGAACTGACTGACCTGGGGAACTGACTTGCGAATCTGTCTTGGGAATAAGACTTGGGAATCTGACTGGAATCTGACCTGAGAATCTGACCTGGGAATCTGACCTGGGAATCTAACCTGGAATCTGACGTGGGAATGTGACCTGGGAAAGTGACCTGGGAATTTGACCTGGGAATGTGACATGGGAATCTGACATGGGAAGCGGACCTAGGAATCTGACCAGGGAGTCTGACCTGGGAATGTGACCTAGGAATCTGACCTGGTGATCTGACTCGAAATTATGACTTGGGGATCTGACTTGGGAATAGGACTTGGGAATCACAGTGGAATCTGACTCCGAATCTGACCTGGGAATCTGACCTGGGACTCTGACCTGGGAATGTGACATGGGAATCTGACCTGGGGATCTGACACGAGATTATGACTTGGGAATAAGACTTGGGAATAAGACTTGGGAATAAGAATTGGGAATGTGACTTGGGAATCTGACTCGGAATCTGACCTCGGAATGTGACATGGGAATGTGACCTGGGAATCTGACCTGGGAATCTGACATGGGAATCTGACCTGGGAATCTGACTTGGGGATCTGACTCGAGATTATGACTTGGGGATCTGACATGGGAATAGGACTTGGGAATCAGACTGGAATGTGACTTCGAATCTGACCTGGGAATCAGACCTGGGAATCTGACCTGGGAATCTGACCTGGGAATGTGACATGCGAATCTGACCTGGGAATCTGACCTGGGGATCTGACTCGGAAATCTGACTGGAAATTGACTTGGAATCTGACCTGGGAATCTGACCTGGGAATGTGACCTGGGAATGTGACATGGGAATGTGACATGGGAATCTGACTTGGGAAGAAGACTTGGGAATAAGACTTGGGAATCTGACTTGGGAATCTGACTCGGAATCTGACCTGGGAATCTGACCTGGGAATCTGACCTGGGAATCTGACATGGGAATCTGACCTGGCAATCTGACCTGGGGATCTGACTCGAGATTATGACTTGGGAATCTTACCTGGGGAGATGACTTGGGACTCTGACTTGGGAATACGCTTCGGGAATCTGACTGGAATCTAACCTGGGAATCTGACCTGCAAATGTGACATGGGAATCGGACCTGGGAATCTGACCTGGTTATCTGACTCGAAATTATGACTTGGGGATCTGACTAGGGAATAGGACTTGGGAATCAGACTGGAATCTGACTCCGAATCTGACCTGGGAATCTGATCTGGGAATGTGACATGGGAATCTTACCGGGGAATCTAACCTGGGGAGTCTGACTAGGGAATAAGACTTGGGAATCTGACTGGAATCTGACTCGGAATCTGACGTGGGAATGTGACATGGGAATCTGACCTGGGGATCAGACACGATTTTATGACTTGGGAATAAGAATTGGGAATCTGACTTGGGAATCTGACTCGGAATCTGACCTGGGAATCTGACCAGGGAATCTGACCTGAGAATCTGACCTGGGAATCTGACATGGGAATTTGACCTGGGAATCTGACTTGGGGATCTGACTCGAGATTATGACTTGGGGATCTGACATGGGAATAGGACTTGGGAATCAGACTGGAATGTGACTTCGAATCTGAACTGGGAATCAGACCTGGGAATCTGACCTGGGAATCTGACCTGGGAATCTGACCATGGAATGTGACATGCGAATCTGACCTGGGAATCTGACCTGGGGATCTGACTCAAGATTATGACTTGGGAATAAGACTTGGGAATCTGACTTGGGAATCTGACTCGGAATCTGACCTGGGAACTGACCTGGGAATCTGACCTGGGAATCTGACCTGGGAATCTGACCTGGGAATCTGACATGGGAATCTGACTTGGAAAATATGACCTGGGGATCTGACTCGAGATTATGACTTGGGAATCGGACCTGGGAATCTGACTCGGAATCTGACCTGGGAATCTGACCAGGGAATGTGACATGCGAATCTGACCTGGGAATCTGACCAGGGGATCTGACTCGAGATTATGACTTGGGAATCGGACCTGGGGATCTGACTTGGAAATCTGACAGGAAATTGACTTGGAATCTGACCTTGGAATCTCACATGGGAATGTGACATGGGAATCTGACCTGGGGATCTGACTCGAGATTATGACTCGGGAATCTAACCTGGGGATCTGACTTGGGAATAAGACTTGGGAGTCTGATTGGTATATGACTTGGAATGTGACCTGGGAATCTGACCTGCGGATCTGACTCAAGATTATGACTTGGGAATAAGACTTGGGAATCTGACGTGGGAATCTGACTCGGAATCTGACCTGGGAATCTGACCTGGGAATGTGACATGCGAATCTCACCTGGGAATCTGACCTGGGGATCTGACTAGAGATTATGACTTGGGAATCTGACCTGGGGATCTGACTTGGAAATCTGACTGGAAATTGACTTGGAATCTGACCTGGGAATCTGACCTGGGAATGTGACATGGGAATGTGACGTGGGAATCTGACCTGGGGATCTGACTCGAGATTATGACTTGGGAATAAGACTTGGGAATCTGACTTGGGAATCTGACTCGGAATCTGACCTGGGAACTGACCTGGGAATCTGACCTGGGAATCTGACCTGGGAATCTGACCTGGGAATCTGACATGGGAATCTGACTTGGAAAATATGACCTGGGGATCTGACTCGAGATTATGACTTGGGAATCTAACCTGGGGAGATGACTTGGGACTCTGACTTGGGAATACGACTTGGGAATCTGACTGGAATCTAACCTGGGAATCTGACCTGCAAATGTGACATGGGAATCTGACCTGTGAATCTGACCTGGTGATCTGACTCGAGATTATGACTTGGGGATCTGACCAGGGAATAGGACTTGGGAATCAAACTGGAACCTGACTCCGAATCTGACCTGGGAATAGGACCTGGGAATCTGACCTGGGAATGTGACCTGGGAATCTGACTCGAGATTATGACATGGGAATCGAACCTGGTGACATGGGAATCTGACCTGAGAATCTAACCTGGTGATCTGACTCGAGATTGGGACTTGGGAATAGGACTTGGGAGTCAGACTGGAATGTGACTTCGAATCTGACCTGGGAATCAGACCTGGGAATCTGACCTGGGAATCTGACCAGGGAATGTGACATGCGAATCTGACCTGGGAATCTGACCAGGGGATCTGACTCGAGATTATGACTTGGGAATCGGACCTGGGGATCTGACTTGGGAATCTGACTTGGGAATTGACTTGGAATCTGACCTTGGAATCTCACATGGGAATGTGACATGGGAATCTGACCTGGGAATCTGACCTGGGGATCTGACTCGAGATTATGACTCGGGAATCTAACCTGGGGATCTGACTTGGGAATCTGACTTGGGAATAAGACTTGGGAGTCTGATTGGTATATGACTTGGAAAGTGACCTGGGAATCTGACCTGGGGATCTGAGTTGAGAATCTGACTGGGGAATATGACTTGGCAATCTGACTGGAATCAGACTTGGAATCCTGGGAATCTGACATGGGAATGTGACATAGGAATCTAACCTGGGGATCTGACTCGAGATTATGACTTGGGAAACTGACCTGGAGATCTGACTTGGGAGTCCGACTAGGGAAAAAGACCTTGGAATCTGACGTGGGAACCTGACCTGGGAATCTGACCTGGGACTCTGACCTGGGAATCTGACATGGGAATCTGACCTGGGAATCTGACCTGGTGATCTGACTCGAGATTATGACTTGGGAATAAGAATTGGGAATCTGACTTGGAATCTGACCTGGGAATCTGACCTGGGATTCTGACCTGGGAATCTGACCTGGGAATCTGACCTGGGAATCTGACCTGGGAATCTGACCTGGGGATCTGACTCGAGATTATGACTTGGGAATCTAATCTGGGGATACGACTTGGGAATCTGACTTGGGAACAACTTGGGAATCTGACTGGAATCTGACTTGGAATCTGACTGGAATTTGACTTGGAATCTGACGTGGGAATCTGACCTGGGAATCTGACCTGCAAAAATGACATGGGAATCTGACCTGGGAATCTGACCTGATGAGCTGCCTCGAGATTATGACTTGGGGATCGGACTTGGGGAATAGGACTTGGGAATCAGACTGGAATGGGACTTCGAATCTGACCTGGGAATCTGACCTGGGAATCTGACCTGGGAATTAGACCTGGGAATGTGACATGCGAATCTCACCTGGGAATCTGACCTGGGGATCTGACTTGGAAATCTGACTGGAAATTGACTTGGAATCTGACCTGGGAATCTCACCTGAGAATGTGACATGGGAATCTTACCTGGGAATCTGACCTGGGGAGTCTGACTAGGGAAAAAGACTTGGGAATCTGACTGGAATCTGACTTGGAATCTGACGTGGGAATCTGACCTGGGAATCTGACCTGGGACTCTGACCTGGGAATGTGACATGGGAATCTGACCTGGGGATCTGACACGAGATTATGACTTGGGAATAAGAATTGGGAATCTGACATGGGAATCTGACCTGGGAATCTGACTTGGGGATCTGACTCGAGATAATGACTTGGGGATCTGACATGGGAATAGGTCTTGGGAATCAGACTGGAATGTGACTTCGAATCTGACCTGGGAATCTGACCTGGGAATCTGACCTGGGAATGTGACATGCGAATCTGACCTGGGAATCTGACCTGGGATCTGACTTGAGATTATGACTTGGGAATCTGACCTGGGGATCTGACTTGGAAAGCTGACTGGAAATTGACTTGGAATCTGACCTGGGAATCTGACCTGGGAATGTGACATGGGAATGTGACATGGGAATCTGACCTGGGGATCTGACTCGAGATTATG